GAACCTCCATGCTCCGTTAGAGGCTCTGGCTGTTGCGTTGTCGGCGGTTGTCTGCGGTTGTCTGCGGTGGTCGCCGGTCTGTTCCTCCATTGTGATTAGAGTTTTCATTTGTTTCTTGACGTGCAGAATTCGTGGCAGACGCAGCACTTTGTGAACCTCCATGTGCAGATTTCGTGGCAGGCGCAGCGCTTTGTGAACCTCCATGTGTAGATTTCGTGGCAGGCGCAGCGCTTTGTGACCCTCCATGTGCAGATTTCGTGGCAGGCACAGCACTTTGTGACCCTCCATGTGCAGATTTCGTGGCAGGCCAGCGCTTTGTGAACCTCCATGTGCAGATTTCGTGGCAGGCACAGCACTTTGTGACCCTCCATGTGCAGATTTCGTGGCAGGCCAGCGCTTTGTGAACCTCCATGCGCAGATTTCGTAGCAGGCGCAGCACTTTGTGAAGCTCCATGCGCAGATTTCGTGGCAGGCGCAGCACTTTGTGAACCTCTATGTGCAGATTTCGTGGCAGGCACAGCACTTTGTGAACCTCCATGCTCCGTTAGAGGCTCTGGCTGTTGCGTGGTCGGCGTGACATGGCTAGATTTCAGAAGTGTGTTTGGAGTGGTTCCAAGAGCGTTCTATGAGTTTGAGACCCCACATGACTGCAATCACTGGAGCAGCAGATCGAGATGCCACTGTTTTCGAAACTGCACTCAGGCTTCGTCAAATTGCTCTCACTGCAATCCAGCAGTCACTGGCTGAAGATCGCTTGACACATGCTACTCTTCACCGCTCTCATCGAGTGGATGCCACTGAGCTTGTTCCAGGCACCAGCACCGTTGAGATCTACAGAGATGCAGCATGGAGAGGTCCAGCCACCCTTCTTGAAGAATCACGTTTCAACGCAGACTTGAATCGCCCGGAGTGCTCAAGCTTCGCTGCGGAGAGTGCGCCGGATCTACCAGGCCGCTGTATGTGACTTTTATACACGCTGTTTGGATTCATTCTCTGCGCAGTCTCACTGCAGCCAGGCCGCTGCATGTCACTTTTACAGACGGTTCTGACGTCTTTTGCGTGTAATACTCATGACGACGCCCAGGTTCACGCGCACGACCTGCTTTCGTCTGCGCGATGAAAAAGAGCTTGGCTATAGAGTTTTACGTCGGCAGCGCGATAGGGTTTTACTTTGGCTAGTTGTGGCTGTACACACATGTCTGCGCAATACCTCGTACATCCGCCGCGCACATTACTCTCCCACACCTCTCTCCCACCCCTCGGTTGTGTAATTCTGATACTTGAGGCCAAGGGGGGGGGGCGAAAGCTAGCGCTCCAGAATGGGAAAGTGGAGGGCAGCGAGGTAGGAAAAAACACGGCGCTCTTTTTGGAGGCAGCGGCAGGGGTGAAGAGTCCTTTATATGTGGCTCTTTGCCCGGATCCTCCTGCGAGAGAAGAGAGAGAAGAGAGACGGAAAGACGAGAGACAGAGAGGAGAGAGAGAGAGAGAGAGGAGAGAGAGATGAGAGAGAGAGAGAGAGATGAGAAAGAGATGAGAGAGATGAGAGAGATGAGAGAGAGAGAGAGACAGTGAGACAGTGAGACAGTGAGAGTGAGCGAGTGCGGCCGCAAGATACGCAACGCTAACCGCATGCCAAAGAGCGACGACAGGACGGAGTCGAACTTGCGACGAAGAGGGAGGAGGGAGGGAGGGAAGGTGGGAGGAAAACAAGGAGGAGGAGAGGGGAGGTGGGGAGAGGGGAGGTGGGGAGGGGGGGGGGTCTTCGACCTGAAAAATCAGGGGTTAGGATTTGCACCCGGTCGAAAGAAACCTTGCTATCGCAAGAGTAACTCCAGCTAGCTTCGCTAGCTTTCGTGATAAAAATTCCTGACAAGGCCATGTTGTAGAAGCTATTGAGACTCTGACTGCTTTGTGCTTTAGAAACTTAAGATTCGTAAAGATTCATATGTGGGATTATCCGGTCCTTTAATTTACTTTTGTTTTCCAGGTTCGGTGCCTGCACTGCTGGCATCCCGCCCTTTTCCCCTTTCCATTAATTTGTCTCCCAGGTGATTTCTGTACTTCCCCCAAACAAGTTACTGTTAGGGGCTCTAAATGCTTTCTAAGAGTGTCCGCCTTGCTGCCGGACAGCGTGTCCGCCTTCCGTCCGGCTTGTCTCCCTTGGTCTCCCTTCTTGTTGGTCACTGTGTCCCCCTTCTTGTTGGTCACTTTGTCCGCCTTGTCTCCCTTCTGTTTCCTTTTGTCTCCCTTCTTGTCTCCCTTCTTGTTGGTCACTGTGTCCGCCTTGTCTCCCTTCATTCTTTCTTTGTCTCCGGTCTTGTCTCCCTTCTTGTGGGTCATTGTGTCTGTCTTGTCTCCCTTCTGTTTCCTTTTGTCTCCCTTCTTGTCTCCCTTCTTGTTGATCATTGTGTCCGTCTTGTCTCCCTTCTGTTATCTTTTGTCTCCTTTTTGCCTCCCTCTTGTTGGTCATTGTGTCCGCCTCGTCCCTTCTCCTTTGTCTCTGGTCTTGTCCCCCTTCTTGTTGGTCACTGTGTCCGTCTTGTCTCCCTTCTGTTTCCTTTTGTCTCCCTTCTTGTTGGTCATTGTGTCCGCCTTGTCTCCCTTCTTCTCTCCCTTTGTCTCCGGTCTTTTCTCCCTTCTCGTTGGTCATTGTGTCCGTCTTGTCTCCCTTCTGTTTCCTTTTGTCTCTCTGCCTTGCAATCCTTTACATGTGTCCTCGCAAGCCTTTGCACAGCTCTAGACTGCTGTGTCCGCCTCTGCCTTGCAATCCTTTATTCGTCACACAGCTCTGGGCTGCATGTCGCTTGCAATCCTTTACATGTGTCTCCCTGTGTCTACATTTGTCTCCCAGCTCTGGACCGCTGTGGCCGCCTCTGCCTTGCAATCCTTTGTCTCCCAGCTCTGGACGTCGCAAGCTCTAGTTGCAGAGTGTTCCGATTTTGAAACACACAAACTGTTTGGGGTCTACGGTGGTGTAATTTAAAGGTCCCGGCTGGGGGCCACCGTCAAAGCTGTCGAAATTGCCACCTCAGCAAAACAAGAAGAACACGTAGAGTTGCGTTGCAGGGTTGTATGTACGAATATATATATATATATACATACATGGAACACACATACAAGCTGTATATAGTGTGGCTACTGCTTAGGCATGTACTAGTGATGAGACTCTTGAATCCTGAGTGTTCTTTGTCTGTATTCCATATAGGTTCTCAAATTATACACATGATTCAGAAGGCACCCTCCAGTACTGCAGGCAGGTGCAACTTTGAACCTTCGTTTGAGCAAAGCAAGTGCTTTGGCGCCCATCACAAACACTGTTGTTCCGTGACCCTCAATGCTCGCTAGAAACAGAATATGGACTCATGTTGGAAGGGGGAATGATGTACATGCGAAAAGACTGGGACTTCATACTCAAAAGAACCACAAACCAGAAAACGTACAGCAAGCGCCTTCAAGGAGTACCTGTCCAGTTGCCAATATCCCACATTGCTAAATGGATGATTCTACAGTGCGAAACATGAACCCCTGCAGTTGGAGGCCCCACATGTTGCATCAATGCCTCCCCAGTAGAAGTTGTCGCCAACCTCAGCTGCGCGTCATGCAACACTTGGCAGCATGACATTGTTCTTTGTTTTGCGAAGGCGATATGGCACCCCTCAAAGAAAGAGATTGCACTTGCACACCGAATATGCCTGTCATGTGGACGCAGGACTATTTCATTGCTGGTTTCTTATTGCAAGGGTGCCTTTTGCAGTGACAGTGCAAAAGAGTTTGATTCCTCTCATGGACAACGAGGCTTCAATAACGAGACTTCTTTGAGAAGTTGTGGATCCCTTGTCTTGGCTTCTGAGCATTAAGGATGTAGTCCACACGATCAAGTGCCTCGGACCAGGCGGCTGAACTGGCGGGACAAACTACTGTCTCCTGACCTCCAATGAAGGTCGTTGTTGCGCATCAAGCTGGTACGAGTAAATTGGCGTTTTGAAAGGGGAAGCTGGCGATGTGACTAGTTGATTGGATAATATTGGATATACTGTACTTCAAGCTTTGTATTAACTAATTATTGGACACCGAACAATCTTTGCCTGGCTTTGATGACACATTCTGTAGGATTGACACTTCAACCGAAGGTCGAACATCCAAGAACTTGATCCCGCATCGGTCTCTTTTGCCAGCCATCACAACCTTCTCACAAGCAACTTCTGGTGACACCAGTCACCAAAGTCACCAGTCATGGCCACTTTTGGCCGTATTTGGGCCATTTGCTATTGAGTATACTCACCAGAACTGGTCCGCTTCCAACTCCTCAGGCGCGGAAGAAGGCTGCCACCAGGAGAAGTGAAAGGAAGGACTTGCCACTTGCAGCGTTCCTGAGGCTGGCGGCGAAAGCCTCAACCATCAACCCCAACCCTTAACAATTCGATTGACCTTGTATCTATGGGTTGAGGACATTGATATCAACCTTGTAAATCAGTGGCCTTGCATGGATTGTGGAGAGTTGAACATCGACCTTCAACCTGAATGGATTCCACCAGGCTGCCACGCCTTCTTGCTTCCGCACTGCATGGGCAGAGTCCTTTTTGCTTTTGACTTCTTCTTGCTCGTGGTTGGATTCACATCGGACCAACCTCTGCTATGGGAAAGCCAGTTGTGTTTTTGCTCTTATGGCTCTGGCGAGCCTTTGCTTTTGAGTACGCCTTGCGATCAAGACTTTTTGGGATCTAGCTTCAAACTCGTTCCTCCAACATGCCCAATTCAGGTCTTCCTTTTCGCAATCATTCGGAAACTACACAAGGGTGCAGTTTCAAGTGGGCTTTTTCCAAAGAGGAGGTGTCCTCACGGTCAAAGACTGGAGGCTGAAGTGTTTATATAGGTCCACTCACCAAGGAATCAAACGGCCGTGGCCAGGAATGCTATGCTTTGCTGTTATCTGGTGGCCGAGTCTCTTCGACTTCCCCATGGCCTTGTCAAGCACAAGTGAAGATATGTGGAGGCAAAATGGGAGATGGTATCGACTATCGACCACCAAGCCAATGTTTGGGCTATAAGTTATACTGTGCATAGTTATGCATTATCTCCAAAATCAGGAGACTGCAGAGAAGTTCCGTTCAACACTGCTACACCCTTGCTATGTGCACAAGAAATGACAATTAACACCGACAGTGAGGCTGTACATTGAGCTACTTGGACATGTGCATCCTGAAAGTTCCTGATTCTTCATCCTATCATGCTATTTCATGTGCCTCGTTGCTTTTGTCACATGCTGTCCCCAGGGTATCGGCGCCAGCGATGTAGTTGTAACTCGGGTCGCAAGTTGATCAACGCTACAAAAATAAGCGGGAAACCACAAGCTCTAAGAAGATCTCACTACGATTTCAACGCAAGATGATATGTTCAAGCCTTCAGTGCATCATCTTCTGATCTATGCAAATTGCAACTTGATAGCAATACAGAACACAATGAGTGCCCGGCTCCATGTCCGTTTTCGCATCCACAGTTGGGGATCTGGACCATTCCTTGAAAGAACTCACCATTCCATACCATTCCCACAAATCTGGACTCGTTGCTGCTGGGCTGAACTCTTCGTTCCACTGGGCTGAAACATAGCAGTTGTGTGCTGGATTAGCACGTTGCGAAGTTTCCGAATCCAACCTTCCAGTTTCCGAACCCAAACAGCTCCTAGCTTCATGCAAAAAACTCCCAGTTTCCGGAACCCCCCATGTCCGAAACCTGAGTTTCTGAACCCACCGTTGGAGTTGAACTGCACTGAACGCGGACCTGATCTTTGTTCCCATGGATTAATACCCCACTGCATACCAAACTGGAAAGAAGAAACAAGGATGTGCCATCCTAGTGGTGCATTCGAGAAGTGATGGCTTCTGACATATTTTGGAAGGACATCAAAAAAAAGCCTTGCACTGGCTGCCAAGCAACACAGCCATTCTTGCAATCTTCTGAAACCTCAGCAGATTGCGTGAAGACTACGACATGTCACGGAACCTATATGGAATGGAATAGCAGGATCACGCCCCAAAGAGGTCTATTTTCAGCGGTCTCTACTTGGAGTCATTCAACGCAACTGATTTCACCCTGGTGAAATTGCCAAGCCACACAATCACCATCCTTGTAGCAAAGCGGGAACTTCTCGGGACACATCACGGCCTGCGGTTGCGTAAGTAGTTCGAAGTCGGGACCTTGCCGCAATGGGAAGGTCATGTCAATCCCATCTGAAAAATCACATCCAAAGTGAATCAGGGTCAAGTGAATGACATCCACTCAGTTCTCTCCATCCTCAAACCCGAACCTAGGACTCCACACTCTCCACACTTGTATACATCGTCATGTTTGCAAAGGATGACCATACATGCAACGTCACAACAACCCACAATAGCCACAGGCCCCTCTTCATGATGCAACAAATCGATACAGGCCTTCTTCCACTGCACCGTGGCCTATCAAATCACAAGTTCTGAGCGAAGTCTTTGACAAAGGAGTTGCAAATCAACAGCTACCAAAGAAGCTATTCTTTGGAGCCACTTTCAATCTCCATCTTACATCCCCGACACCACTTGTGCCGTCTGTACAACGTGGGCACGAAAATGATGGTCGCCCCTGCCCAGGTTCAGAGTTTGACCTTCAGTTTGGCTTGAATCATGGATAATCATGGCTTTCACTTCACCAAATGCTATCAAAATCCACATTGCCTGAATGGACTTCTTCCATGGTGGAAGGTACTCGTCCTTCGTGAAGATGCTGTCCTCCATAACGTGGTCTTCCTGCGACGAGAAAAAGGGTTGCCACCGTTGCCACCCTCCCGGTTCATGCGCACAGAGAAAACCACCGTCAGATGACATCGGCTGCCCCCATCGGCCATTGAAGCCATCGGCCGCGATGTTTCGCGGTTCTCCTGGACCCAATCTTTGCCGATGCTCTTTCCCTCAAAGATCTGGCCACGGAACGAGATGAACGTGAAGGCCACGAGCTTCCCATGGTTTCAGTTTTGGTTTGGCCACGCTTGCGTGAGTCCCTAACAAACCGGTTAAGGACCCCCCAAGCTTGATAACCTGTGACCTGAATCTGTTCCACCTGAGCCATGCTTCTCAGGAAGGACACAATTAATATATATATATATATATATTTGTTTAAATGTTGCTGCAGAATAAATAGACCACCATTCAAATTCATTCGATGAAACACACACACACACACCGTCCTATGCAAAAACACCCACGTTGTCGCCTTGGTGCCCTTCGATTCTTCGGCCTTCTGGATTTCTTGCCTTGGCAACGTTTGACCAATCCAAGACGAGAGTCGTCATGCGGAAGTGTCTTGAGTTTCGTTTCGTTTCCTTGCGGATGAAGACACTTTTGAGATCCCCCATTGGCAAGCTGCTTGTAGCTGATGCCTCCTTAGGAATATGACAATTCTTCTTTGGCACTCGTCTAGAGTCTAGACCGGTACCAAGGTCCACTGCCCAAATCCCTTTGCGGGTGGCTGGGTCTGCCTCAAAATGGAGATCCCCTCAAATGGTTGCTTTGTGTGTGTCTTCCCATCTAGCAGGAATCTTATCTATCTGATGCAGGAGTGCTGAACAAGTCTGACAATTCCGCCTTTTATATAGATCTTCCTGAGACACACCAATCTAGATCCGAATACTAGTCTTGCTATTTTCAAATCTGATGGATGAGGGAAAGGCGTCTAAGGGGAGAGATGAAGACCTTGTCTATACAAAGGTTCATCCTGCTTTTGGCACTGTGGCCGTTGGAAAAAAACGCTTAAAGTGCTGCAACAAACAGTGCACGTGGCAGTACTTCAGTAGAAAAAGGTGAACGTCAGACTCGGGAGCTCCTGTCCTCCCAACCGGGAACCCGCGGTACCAAAGGTCCGAGCGTCGAATGGGCTCCCAGGTCTCGTTCACCTTCACGCACACAAAGGCGTCCGCCTCCGCATCCACCGCCACGAAGGAGCGCTTCACATTCTCGGACCGGAGGGGCCGAGCGCTTCACAAGAGAGGGGACGGAGCTGGGCACCCGAAGCAAAAGCCTTGTTTGTGGCATCCCAACATGGAGAAAAGAAACCACCGGGAAGGTCATGTTCCTAGCACTTTTGTGTTCCTCACCTCTGCGCCCAAAAACCGTATGCTGGGGTTCCGAAAGGGGAATGTCATTACGTATTAAGTATCTGGACGACTGATTTCAAAAGGAATTAAGCTTGTAAGTTGGCCAGCATCAAGTAACTCCGGTCCACAGCAATAATAAGATAGCATTTGCTTGCATCAAACTTTCTGGAGATAGTTTTCTTAGCAATCTGTCTACATAGTCATTGTGGGAACGGATCTGGACACCTTCTACATTTGGGAATGTTCGTGGTTCCTTTCAATAGTGTGATCCTTTGTTTTATGCAACATAGGCCATAATGGCTAAAATTTCAGGGGTTTTAAAAGCGTTCAGCTCTCGGCAAGAATGGGTGACACTGTATGCCAGCATGGTGTCTAGCACTGAAACCAAGGTGAGTCAAGCTCTTTGCGTTGCTTGGTGACTGTGGAGTTAACGCTGCTTGAAGTAGAACTCACATCCGATGATATACCGTGCAGAACGTATCCATTTGTGCACGCATGGAACGCAGCTTTGGCAGCAGTACTTAGGGGCATCAATGTCAAACCATGTCAAAACTCTCGCAGCCGTGCCTTTGCTGTGTGGGAGCCTTACTGGCAGTTTAATGCCTGTGCAAAGCACCAACGTAACGGTGAGTTCACTCCATGTTATACCTTTGTCACATTTATGTGGGACCAAGTGTGAGGGGCACCATTGGGCTTGACTAAGGAACTTCCGGGCATATGATACTCAAACAGCGGCTAAACCCACCCTTGACAAACCAAATGACTGACCGTCCCCCCAAAAACACCTTCTAGATCCTCGAAAGCCAATGCACCGGAGAAAACGATATTCTGAAGACATCTTTAAGCCTTTAAGCACCCTTCGATTCTAACTTCTAACTGTCCTTATCAATCCCCTTCACCTGACCCTTTCATCCTCTCAAACACCTAAAGGGCCACGCGGGTGTCGATGGACTCGCATGGGTGCCCTGAGGGACGGTGCTTGGTGGCTCCAAGTGGCGAAGCTCTTGCCTGGAGCTGCTTCGCTGGCACTGACCGTCCTCGCGCAAAGACACGAAATTTAAAGGTGAACAAAAATAACAGAAAAACGTTGTCTTGTTGTTTATTGCAAGAAACACGTCGGATCTTTGCACAAACGTTGGCACGTCTTTAAGCGTTCTTTCTATTGTTGACAACTCGTCCTCTTGATCGCGTTGTTGTCTGATTCGAGCTCGAGCTTGACGAAGCCGAAGGTCAGATCCTTCGCGGCCTCTCAGCGGCTCAGCTTCCGTGAGAGAAATTCCATGCAATTGAGAGCCACTCCATCACAGATCCACCCAAAGCATTGAGAGCCAATAGCCATCAATGGCAATATTTCAGTCTAGATTCTGTCCAGACGATGCGGCTGCCAGGACTCGGGCGAAAACCGGTCGTGCCTCGCACTTGCTGTTGTTCTTGTCTGCTTGGCACAGCTCCGTTGGGCAGTCCCGCAATTTGAAGTTCTTACAGTCCTTAGTGCTCAATTAGGACTGGCAAACATTTAATCTCAACATGTTATTGGAGAGCCTCCCTGAGAGTGATTCAAATGATTCAGTATCATCAGTATCTGATATACATATATATATATATATTATATGTTCAATATTATACATATTTACATTTAATGTAATGAATGCAGAAACACACAGGTGACCAGAAGGTGCTGGGCCGCTGGGCTGTAAGGCCAAGTCTCGGATCCCTTGACCACAAGGTTCGCGGTATAGTGCTTGTCATCTGAATCTGCACGGGCGAGGGCTGACCCAACACAAGTGCTGCTGATGCTCCAAAGACAAACACGAAACACCAAGAACAATCCCTTTCCTAAAACGGTAAACAAAACCCCAGAATCCTTTGGTTGATGAATCTATTCGCTTGGGAGTCCACCACTCAAGCGGATCATTTCACCGCTGCTCGACCGCTTCAACTTGAGGCCTTTCTTGGTCAAGTTTGCGCTGCATGCAATGGTTTTGTTCCTGCAAGTCAAGCAGGTCGGCTTAGCTTCCGATATCTCATCCCACCACTCAAGCCCATGGCATGAAGATCATTAAACGAGTTGACATACGAGATTACGAAAATCAGGACGATTGCGAATAAGCTACCTGATTTCTGACGGGTATCTTTGATCGTTGGTTTGAGTCTAACGCGTCCTTTTTCGTTCCTTCTGGGTGCACGAAAGAATCCAGCCCTGTGTTCTGTAAAGACTCCATAAAAGCAAGGCAGCAAGACAACAATGGGCTCCAGAACTTCTGCTCCAGCTCCAAACCGCTGTCTTTCTTCACGATCTTGAAGTCGCCCTTGGCTGTCTGAGACTGGTGGACCTTCAACAAAATATATTTATAGCTCTCATTTCCAAGGTTTGGTAAGGAACGTCTTGAGATCCCAAAAGCAAACCTTCAAATGCATGTTCATCTTACCCGAACCCATGTTCATCTTACCCGAACCCATGTTCTTCGACTGCCCTCAGAATAAGTGACTTGTGCACAGCAAAAAGAACAAACACATATATACTGTAGATGTACATCAACACAAGCTATCCAGTCCAGCAAAATGTCCTTTTGCTACTGGATCTCGTCTTGCAGTCAAACACTCGGCCTCTCCCGAAAAAAAAAAAAAAAAACAGGCCCAACAAATCATTCAAAAAGAAAACGATCACAGTGCAGCCGCAATGATATGGACCTTCCTGAAGCGGGCTACGTCGAGGTCCTCCATCCTTTATCATGGTTATCGCTCAGTCCAATCATGCTGCCAAAAGTGCAATCATGCTGTCCAGAAATGTGTGACTCAATCATGTTTACCGACCAAAACACGCGGAATCCAAATCTTATCAAATTTTTACAGTACATTTGAAGCAGCAGTCTAGCTGTCTGGCTTGAGGGGAAGCTGGCATTCCTTCCTCTGATCCATAATGTTTAAAAGCACAATAACTTATATAGTCAACCCTGATGTGCTCGAGAAACACGTGTCATCTTGGTATATATTTCCAACTAGTCTAGATTAGTTGCTCTGAACAACCGTCTTGTATTCTAAAGAAATGAACAGAAGCCTTGCCTGGGTTGTCCAAATTAAATGCCTCCGGAGACAATGCATCTAGCATCCTCACAGGGCTCCGCGAATGAAATGGGGGGACCCATCCGGTTCACAACGTCAGCAAATCCGAGAGGCTGATTCAAAGGTCCAATCTCCCACAAGTGGTTCATCTTTGTCTGGTGCAGCCTGTCGTTCCAAGACCTCGACAGCACGTCGCCCCGGAACCACCGACACACGCCGGACGGGACACCGGTCGAGAGGCCAAGGTGGAGTTGGAGGTCTTGAGACGGAAGACCTCATGGCCGTCTTCCGTTTTGGACTCCTGAGGAGGCACTGGAGGGAGGAAAAACACCCGTCGTTGCCATGGTAGGGCTCCAAAACCAAAGGCTGGTGCAAAGCGAAGTAGGCTTTGCAACCACGGATGATTTCGTCGAGTGATTGATGGAAGTCTCTCTTCAACAGTTCAACAAGATCCAAATTTCCATTTCAGCATGGACCTCCTGGTCTCGTTTAAACTCGATACGAATCGGTCGTCCTGTTCTGCTCAGACCCACGAATCGGTCGTCCTCCGTCTTGATGAGTTCGCCAGGTTCGGTGCAGTCGATCTTGCTGGAAAGGCGAAGGTCCTGGTGCATCTGCTGCGATACAAGTAGCCAAGCAACAAAGTTGCACAGGAAATCCCTTTGACTTCATTCATTTCTATATATTTCTATCATCAGGGGGAAACACATAGCTCCCCTTCACACACCCAAAATCCATTGGCACGAAGAGAGTGTCAAAATGCCATGAGCCGACTCTCCCACGGCCTCTGCAGTGATGCTGCAGTCCTGGAGGGGAAGGCAGTAGACGACAACGGGTTCATTTGGAGCTTCTTGAGCGGGGAGGGAATGCCTTCCTTGGCCTATTAGGAGCTTCATGGAGCTTCTTGAGCCCTGAGAAGCAGAAATGGTTGTTAAGGGTGACAGAGTATCTGAAACAGCCTTTATCTACGCCTACATTACACAATAATATATATATATACATGTACATATAATGTATACTTGCATATACAGTAATATACATACACATTTGACAATATTTTGAGCCCATATGTATAACATTATGTATAGTTATATTTTTTTGGGCCATGGTTTTGAAGAACACATTCATAAATCGTCTTGAATCGTTCAGCAACAAATGCCGAGAACAATAAATCAAGGCAGCTCCGCAAATCCCTCTCAATGGCAAATAGCATGTCCTTGCCATCCTTCTTCTGACCGTCAAACCAAACTTCTGCCTTAACAGCTTGCAAAGCAAACATCCTTGAAACGAAACATGATGAAACCCACTCGTCCCGCTCATGAGCCTGACAAATGATTAAATATGATTAATTAGTGCTTGCTTTCCAACCTCCTTCAAGACTTTTCATGACCAATTTCTCTTGGTGTTCGATTGTACAAAAGCCTGCTTCTGCAGCCCAAATGCTCCCAGGAAGAGCCTGATGTTCCCCTCATTTTCAGCTTCAGTCTGGGCCAAGCCTCCCCAAGTGTCCTGCCACGATCAAATTCAGGATCCGCACCTACCTCAACATCCCGGAGTGGTGGAATGTGGTAAGGCTATCTGGTGTTGACCTGTAGCCCAGTGCCATCGTTCGGGGTCACTAACGCCTGCGTCGCACTCAGAAAATGACAGCACTGGGTGGCTGCTAAGTCTCGGGGTCCGGGGTGGGTACTAAGTCTGAAATGGCTTCTTGTTACTAGAAGCAAGAATGCTCCTGGTAGCGATGCCAGGAGCCCCTAGAAGCGTCCTAGTGGATGGGGTCCGGGGTGGGTACATAAACTCAGATTCAGAAAGAGCCGAGCTGTTTCTGGCTTCTGGAAACTCTGGAAGAAGGACAGGCGGGACAGGAAGAGGATGCAAAGGCTGCGACTTGGATCACTTTGTAAAACAGACTTAAGGATGGGCCACGGGATGACTTCCTAGACCGCAAGGATCCGCAAGGTGCAGAGACTTCCTTGACAAGGCTCCTCATATGTACAGGGCTAACAGTTTTGCATTTCGTGCCCAGATCATTCCAAATGTGTGGAGTTTCAGCTTAAGGCTTACCTTCTATTTTAAGTTGCCTGAAGCGCTAATTAATAGGCCACAACAAAAGAGTGCCTGCAAACACTCACAGTGAAGATGCATCATCTTTCACGAAGAAACCTCTGTCGCATCAAAAGAGTGTGGATGTGTGGCTGCAATCGATACTGCAGTTGCTGCAGGGGTCTACTTTTGACTGAACCAGGCAATGAATCCCAGCGTGTCATTGGTGTCGTCAACATGTTTGCAATTCTTCTTGGTACTATTTCTAGAAGCAATCAAATCATCCTTCCAATCTTGTGAACATCGTCTTGCGATGCCTTCTCAGCACAATGCATTATTTCTTTGCCTGTGTGTTTGGCAGCACCCTGCCTGTGGATCACTGTTCTCGTTTGTCACCCGCACCAGCTTCTCCACCTTGTCTTGCATTTCCTCAATCGTTTTAAAGGTCACCTTCCTCAGGTGCGGCCAACGGCGGCCAACGAGACACAACGTCGTCTGTCGAGGATGCCAGACTTTCGAACGGTCGCATGTGAAGAGACGAAAGGCTTGCAGTAACCAGGTAGTGAAGAGACGATTTGTTAAAGGATTGTGGGGAAAACGAAAAGGCTCTGAAAGAAGTAGATCAAGGGCCAGGTCCAACTATCACACACCCTTGCCTGCCACCTTGGTTCTGGTGCTTCTGCGGCTGCAAAAGTGCTGTCGCGGGCTTCAGTGATTTATTTGTTCAGTTTCCTGTATTGAATTTCCGGTGACCACAGCTACTATGTTTGCTTTGAACATATGGTGCTCCACTCACACTTGCCCATATATGCACGACAGGGGTCCGGGGTTAGTTTGGTTTGCCTTTGCTTGTCAGCCGCGGGATGTTGATTGCTTTCTTTTCCTTGTCTTGTGTGCTGCTCTTGGCAAGTACATCCTGGATGTGTGTCGATCAATGTCAGCTATACATGACAAAACATCGTTGCAAACAACAGCGGCAGAAAACGCAAAACAAAAACACGACATGAACATGCAAAAACAAAGCAAATTCCGTTGTTTTGTGCATTTTTACTGGCAACATTTCTGCACTCATGTGAACTCTTAGCAGTCAGCAATATTCAGTGTACACTCTAGGCAATATCAATAAACGATAAACAACTGAACAATTCCAAGACACAAACAAACAAACAAACAAACAACAACCGCAACAAAAGCGACGAAAAGGCAAACTTACTTTTACCATTTTCAGTTGCTTTACCTTTGCTTTTTTTGCTTACACTAGTCATTTTGGCTCCTTGTTTCTTCCTGTGGCTGCCAAGCCCGACACAATTATAGATTGCATTTCACAGGACTGGAGCCGATGAATGCATGAGTTGAGCACCGCTCTTGGTATCAGGGACGAACTGAGGGTTTTCACACCCATGCCAAAGATGTGTGGCTGAAGAACAGGTGCCCTTGGACCACTCCAGGAACAAAACAGATCTGATCAATGAACAGCACGCAAATCAACTCATGATGAAACAGAACCGTCAGCGCAAGTCTTGGGGCACGTGAACGTGCGAATTTGTCAAGCTGAGTAGCCAATTGATTGGCATCTTTAGCTGCGAATGGCAATCTAAGACGCCCTGGTCCTCAGCAAACATCCAAGCAAAACAACATAGAACAACTCTTCCGTGAGCTAGGTAGGTCTGCTTTTGGCAACCAAGCGACGTCTGAATCGCTTGTCTTCTCCTTACAACAAGAGACAGAGATATCAGAGTTGAGGAAGCTGTTGAATGGACCCTTCACTCAAGGACACAGCAAAAGAATATGGGCAAAACCCCATGAGGACATTGAAAATGACACCAAGACTCTCCACTCTTGGTGGTCTCCTTTGGACCTTCCACTGACTCTTCCTTTTCCTTATTCTCATCCATGGCATTGGCGTCTGTGTCATCGCCTGGAGTTGGATCACCAAGATCGTTTGTCTGAGTGGTTTTTTGAACAAATATTAAATCATATTCGATCGATTAAACTAAATTTCAGCTAGTATAGGTATATCTAGGTATCACAACCCCCCCTGATCTCCATGAATACGTTGGATCCAACACCAACCGTCACCAATGTCGCCTTCTGATTCTGGACCCTTGCTGTCCCGAGTCAACGCTGAGAGCATGCCTGCAAGCAATGGAAGCATTTCACTTCTGGGGCTTAAAGAGTCTATTCCGTTGTCGTGTTGTACAAGCCGAGCTCACATGCACATGACTAAGATTTCAAGACTGGTGAATCCTGCCAGAAATATCCAGAAATACTCTTCAGGAAGCAAACACTGCATGCTTTCCTTTTCTGCCGAATTGCTTAGAAGGCCTTTTTTTGCTGGGCATTTCTGTCTTGATCGACACCCCTAGCTCCTACAAACGGTTGAGCTCGACTTCTCTCCAGCAAGTCTTTATATTTTTCCGAACATTCCTGAGGTGCAAGCTGTCTGACTCGCGATAGGCATACCTGAGCTGCCGCAATGCAAATGCTCTTAAGGTTCATAGAGCGATGAGCTATCTGATCTATGAAGCAGCCATTTTGAGAAATCCATGGGGTCCTTCTGGTTTGGCATAGGGTGCGAGAGCAGCACTAGCTCATCTTCTGAACAGTTTGAACATGCCATGAATTAGCATTCAAAGCTCCTCCAGTTTGCCTTCTTGAATGTTCTCAAGGCAACACTCCTCGTCGTTCTTGCTCGTTTTTTTTTCCTCTATGACTTTGCCATTGCTCCTCTTCCCGAACCATCTCAAACCAATCTCCTTATGGACCACGTCACAACACGGGTAGCAGGACCAGCAGGAGGGAACTTACCATTCGGACCATGCTGAACAAAGGTGGGCAGTCGCACCTACGGACGGATTTTGCCGACTTTGGCAATTGAGCACTTGAGCAATGCGGCGAATATCTCATGGCCCTGCATGCAGATTGTAATTCTCGTAGTCTGACCAAATACATTGGGGCAATCACATCCTTTGGATGCCCGAATTTCAATGATTTCTAGCACGATGATAGTAATGCTATGTACTGTTTGTTTTCTTTTTGATGTCATCAAAGCGGTCAAGACTTGTGACACAAGCATCTGGGTAGAAACAAGAATATCACGTCGTGTAAGCACGTTTTCAAAAACGTGCTGGGCTCAGTGGCTGCCCTGTGAATCCATGTCATATTCTAGTCCCTTAGTAATTTGCTGCTCCAGTCATCTCTGCTTTTCTCCTCTGCGAACGCATCTGCTGAGACGAACACGGAGGAGAAACATGCTCGAACGCGACTTTGCGCTCTACGCCCCAGCAAACGGCCAACGGGACAGCAACAGTTCATACGCATCTCTGATGGATTTGTTCCACATGAACTTCAACGAGGGTGGAAGTGGTGATCCTGATACAAGTCCAAAGATGTCAAAAGTATGGGAATGACCAAGTAAGGGGTACTAGGATCAGGTACACACCAGGTATATCTGTCAAACCTCGCTCCGAGCCAGTCCCTGCATAAAAGTGATTCCCTGGGCACTGATTCCGAGTCGGACGACGATCGTTCCTCTCCTTCTGGTGCGCTGACTTCGCTAGCGAATCGCGGTAAATCAATTGATGTCGGCCCTGCTTGGAATGTTAGGGGTGCAACGACAGCAACGACGCTGGCTTCACTGGTGCGCCAGAAAGGGACCAAACGTCGAGCCACGTCTCAGTCTCTACGTCGACCACAATGGCGACAGAAGATGGAGTCCGCCATGTAAAGGTTTCCGCACTGCGGGCAGTGAGTGACCTGGGCCGCATTGTGATGTTTCCCTGGAAGTCGTGAAGGTTGTTCAAGGGGTAAAGTAAAGTGGATGAGATGGGAACATCGGTTTCAACATGGCTAGTTATATCGGATATCAGTGGACTTATTGTGAAATCAAAAGAACCGTCTTTTTTGGTGGTAGATTCTGGACACCTTCGCCATCTGCATCCATCTGCCCGCCAAGGATCTGCCTCCTCCAGCGAGATGACCCCATCCATGTTGGCATCCATGCGCTGAAAGAGTGAGCCCTGGTGCCACCGCTCCCCAACGACTCATGGAGACTGGGAGATGAAGCCACACTGAAGGATAGGATGCCATCTGAAGAGGTTGATTTCTTTCCCTCCCAGGGTTCACAGGTTGTACCAGGCAATTGAAAGGGAGCATGGATAGGATTCGGGGATGAGTCACATTGACTCGATAATTATATATGAACCCTCATGAAGACATCAGGACCCCTTGACTTGACAAGTGATATTTAGCATTCGGCAAACCTCACTTCTCCACCAAACTATCCAAACGGCTATCTGATGTACGGGCGCAATTGGAGAGCACCTCGGACCCTTTTTTTAACAAAGTGGGGCTCTTCACAAGGCTCGTCAACATTGCCCCTATTTACGTCGCACAAGTAGATGGTCGCAGTTTGTTTAGGCAGAGACATCTTTTCATTGTGGAACATCTGCCAATCAGTCCAACTCAACCAGTCTCATCCATGCCCAAACAATCCATCCAAATGCTTGCCTGCGCCATCTGCGGGCTCAGCTGCACCATGCAGCTTCCACCGCTGCTTGAGCTACCTGGTTTCAACATATAGAGCGACAAACAAATGGTCAAGTTGTTTTGCTCGCGTGCTTTCCTTTCCGGATTCTTCGACGATTTCATGAAACCCACGGCATGGGTGAATCCAAGATAAACCAATCAGGTAGCCCAAAAGCACGGACTTTATGACTTTGAATGTTCTTCCCACTATTTCGCCATCCATTCGGCCTGGAGGAGCTGCGATGCTTTGTCGTCTGCGGCCACAGTTGCGGCAGAACATCCTCTCGGATCCAACATGAATCTACTTTGCATGGAAAGCTGCGACCGCTGTCTCAACTTCTGATCTTTTGAGTTCCGAACGAGTGAAGCTGAAGCTGGGCCGAAGCCATAACGACATATCATGTGAGAAACGTGAAGGGGAAAAACAAAGAAGGAAGAGAAGAAGCGGAAGGAGAAACAAAGGGAGGATGAGGGGAGAAAAGGATGAAGAACAAAGGAAAGAGCCAGATGGAGACAAGAACAAGAACCACAACAAACGTCGAACAACAACTTACCACAACAACCGTTCAGCCATATATATATATATATGTACATATTAGTATTATTACTACTAGTATTACTATTTTGCTATTATTGTTTTTATTGTTATTACAATATATATATATACTGTATATATTAGACACCAGCAACCACGGATCGCTTTTGAAATTGAAGCAAGCATCGAGTCTGCCATGTAGAGATTCCCGCAGGTTGCACAATGACTTTCCTGCCCAAAGAAGACAAACACAAGGCATCAAGCCACACCAATGGTACGGAGCTCTGTCTGTGTACTGCTGAATTTCGCCCTTCCAGCAACCCTGGTTGGCAAACCAACGCTATAAAATGCTATATATAAATATGTTCCATAGCAATTTTCTAGCCAAGATGCAAACTCGTCTTTGGAGATGACGCCATCGTGGTTGGTATCCTGCGCCACCGAACCACCCGTCTTTCCTCCCCGCAATGACTCGAATGGCATTCGATTCTCAGAGTTCTTATGGTCGGAGTCATCAGCGTTCCGAAACATCAAACAATCATCAAAACGACTTTCTCGATCATTGGACTTCTAAGACCCTTCTATCATCTTCTATCTGATTCTATCTCAAACACCGCGGCTTTGCCGTCCATCTGGTGGAAGCGTGATGTTGCCGGTGTGTAAGTAGCTGTCCTCAGCATCCACAAAACCTTTGAGTGAGCTGCTGATGAAGTGTAACAATATATATATATATACTGTATATTTGGGGATGGGTCAAAACTTGAAGCTCCAACACCTTGTCATTGTAGCGAACGACCTTCCAGCTAGGTCAATGAAGGTATCCCTTTGTTTACTCGTCGTATGGTCAAACATGATTTTGGTGAGTTTTCCGTTTTGATCCCCTATTGAAACTGACCATCATCACGCGTAGTTTTCCATACACAAATCAAACTGCTCGGCAAAGCAAGTTTCTGGTGTGCTCATTGAGCTGCAGCTGCATTTCTCCCATGATATTAAGGGAAGAACAACTTCTTGGCAATAGCAACTGTCATCCACATTCAAGTGGTCATTGAAGATGTCACTCATTGACTCATTGAATGTCTCCCATTCTTCACATGTCTTTAGTTGTTCATTACATTTTACTATATATAGAACACTCAGGACTGAGGCTCACAGGCGGAGCAGCATCGAAGGAGACGGCTTTGGGCCTCTTCTGGACCTGCGGGAGCAGTTCAATCAGACCGCTGAGGCCTCGACCGCTGCGGACATGCTTCAATGGTGTTGATGGCTACACTTCTTGTACACAAGTGGTTGTATTACAGTAGATGAATCACACGTCTTCCCCAGTTTTGCCGAGCCTCTTCCAGCACTGGCGTGGAGTGATTCACCACAGCCTTTCTTTGGAATCAAAGAGTTTCGTCCAATGTCGCTACAGCCGTGGTCTCGTCTTGCTGCTTTGCTCAGTGTCCGACGGCCAGTTTCTGGTCCCTCTCTTCCAAGGCAGCACAATATTCTCTCAGCCTGGATAACCACAGGATCCCGTACAACGCAGTGTGCCCAACTCCATTACTCTTCTAACCAAAGACATGAGAAAATTGGTTCGAGGGGATTGTTCGCAAGCGAGATCAGCTGCTCTAGCTAGCAGCGCAGAGTTGGCATAGAAGCTGCCATGGAACAATGTCAAAAGGCTCCGCCAAGCAGGCTGCTGCCCGACCCAAATGGCCTTTGAAGCTCTTCTTGGCAGTTTGCAAGTTCTTGCCTTGAACGTTCGAGCAACACATCGGTGGATCAAGGATCCGTAGCTCCATGAATCTAACTCCCCTGGGAAAATTGTCAGGTCAAAAGAATGTGCAGTGAATCTTTGGAGGGGTCACTTGCGTTTCGTTCACACCGGGGGATGACCAACTTCTATGACGCCAAATGCTGCCAAGGCACTCTCGCAAGGACAAGAGCTCCTGATACAACTCTTGATCGTAACCCGAAGGTGAGCAAACAACGCGTGCTACCCTGCCGAAGACCAAAACACAACCACAACCACCGTATTGCGGAGCGGCAGTCCTGTCAGGTTTCTAGTCCTTACAGTTTCTTGTATCTATACCAGGAACAAATCGTTGTGTTGAACATGGTGATCACACTGAACATAGCGGCATAGCGCTGCATTGTGATGTGACGGGTTCCATGCCCTCTCCAAACTTAGCGCTCTGCGTTTTATTTGCCCAAAAATCATCGCTACTAGTAGCAAATAGCTACTAGCAACAAAGGGCATCGCTACTAGTAGCATCTAGTAGCAAAATAGGAGCGAGGATGCTACGAGTAGCTCCTGGCATCGCTACCAGTAGCAAATAGTAACAAAGGGCATCGCTACTAGGAGCAAATAGCTACTACTACTACTACTACTACTACTACTACTACGACTACCACTACCACTACCACTACCACTACCACTACTACTACGACTACTACTACTACTACTACTACAGTACTACTACTACAGTACTACTACTACAGTACTA